GATCCTGCTGCAAGCATTTCCTGTGTGCCCTCACCTCGGAGCCTCTCCTTCTCCAGCTAGGATGTATGACTTGGCCATCGAGGTCCTCAGAGTTCTTCAGTGAAAGCCAACTGTATTCCTCCAGCTGGAATTACTTGTGCCTTTCTCTGTATTCCCAAAATGTGCACAAAACTTATAAAGGTGTGTGATGGCCCTTAGATATTTTGGTATGATTTAAAGTTAATTGCATGCATGTGTCTTGCTGCCTGGGTCAATTTCTTTGAGATCAGTGACCACATGTGACCTTTGCCTTCCCAGAGACCAGCATAGACCCATCAGTGAAGCCTGTTCTCAAAAAACGCTTGTAAATGACTCACTCCTACTGGGGTCTGGAAGACGACGGATTCCAGATCAAGTTGCTTGTTGCCTCATTTGTCAAATTCTGCCTGTATGTCGGCTGTTCTTCCTATGACGAATCTGAAGATAAGAAACAGGAAGAAACAACCGGCCTGCAGGACAAGTGCATCCTTCTCAGACCACCCTCGAATTCGCTCAAAGCAGGAAATCAGCCTGAGTCGCACTCAGCAACAGGCGTGCACGTGGGGAACTCTGCTCTCCCCTCTACCCTGTGGGGAAGCAACAACCCCCTTCCTGCCTGGAGAAACTCCTACTCATGCGTGAAGCTTCATCTCAGATAGCAGTTCCTCTGCGAAGCCATCTTCCACTCTCTCATAAAGAGTCCACCGTTTCTTCCTCCACATTCTCTCTTGCCTCTATTAAGGTGTTGAGCAGATAGCACTGAAACGATCTCCTTGCGTATTTGGTATTTTCCACTATGGCAGACACATATGGAAATCAGTTCTGGGAGCAATGGTTTAAAAGGAGACAGACCACCCAATATCCAGAGAAGAGCAGTCAGGCTAGGGAAGGACCGGGAAACCCATGCCCCATGAGCAGACTGAGTGTTGAGTTGGTCCCAGACGTCGCTGCGCCTCAGTGTAATTATCAGTAGCTCTGAAGTTCACTCTCAAAAGTGTCCTGGTTTAGTCCATCACATATAGAATCACCCTCCATATGAGAACTATGTAAAGAAACCACAGGGGTTCAATCCACGGGAGACTTGGGGAGTCCATTACTGTCTTCGGTCATTCAGGATGCCGCCACATGCTCTGTGTGGCCTCAGAGGACCTGTGGGAGAGGATGCTGTAACGAAAGCTTTGCCCATAGTCTCTGTTTTATTTACTGTTGGGCACCCAGGACTTGGCACCATTCCTGGAATATATTAATCTGATAAATATTTGTAGGAGAGAAAAAGGAAGGTGGGGGGAAGGTACAATCTGACAAAGAGCTGATTGCATTGCAGGCCCTGCCCCCTCGGTCGGGGTGCCCACCAGAGGCTAAAAGGCCCCTTGCTGGGGACAGCATGGATGGTATGTGGGCTGAATTGCACCCCACTCCCATGAAAAAATATATCCAAGTCCTGAGCCCCAGTACCTTAGCATGTGACTAGATCGGAAATCTGGCTGTTGCAGGTGCACGAGTTGACATGAGGTCATGCTGGAGTAGGATGGCTTCTAATCCAATGACAGGTGTCCTTACAGAAAGACAGTCATGTGTGGGCAGAGGCCTACAGGGAGAAGCTCACGTCTAGACAGGCAGAGGCTGGCACGGTGCAGCTACAAACCAGGGACTCCCAAGATTGCCAGAATACCACCAGAGTCTAGGAAGAGACAAGGAAGGGCTGCCTCGTAGGTTTCAGAGGGAGCCTGCCAACACCTTGACTTCAGACTTCTACCCTCCAGAACTGTGAGAATACATTTCTGTCATTTAAGCCCTCCGGCTTGTGGGCGTTGTTTATGCCAGCCCTAGGAAACTAACATGGAAGGAATTCTGCCTTGGGTGGGAAGATGCATGAGATGGATGATCTGTGGACTCACTAGACTTCCATCTCAGAGCCAGGCAGCAGTGATGGATTTGCCTCAGGCAGCCTTGCAGACCCACTGTGTGTCATCGAGCTTCGCACTGGTGATCTGCACCCAGGGAGCCAAGCACAGGCTCATCCGAGCTAACTGTAGCACCAGCATCCTGAAAGCTCCCTTCTCTGTCCAGCCGGTCCTGGGCTCAGGACTCTTTGACTCCTGGAACATCAGACCTCGTGGAAATTCACAAAGACACCCAAGCTCACCCCTCCCTCACACTGCCAGATTCCAGGCCCTGAGGCGTGGGAGATACCTGGACTCTTTCCCTGCTCTGTGCTCTTTCCATGTTGTTATAAGAAATAACTTTGTGGTCTACTCATTGTTTTGCAAATAACCCCCAACCCTCCCACCTATAGGAATCCCCTTTGCCAGAAATTCCTCACCCCAGCCTTCTCCTCTCAGCCTGCCAAGACGTACTCAGATGGGAGACCACTCAGATAGGAGACCGGGGGATCCCTGCTTCCCTCCCTCCCCAACTCTGCCCGCCTTGCAGAATCCTCTGGCCCCACCCCCAGGCAGTCCACCTTTACCTGCCACTTGTCACGGGCTACTTTGCAGGGGGCTAATGACATCTTATTCTTTCAGCTCTATTCTTGTTCCTGCTAGTCATTCAATCACCTACAAATATTTATTGAGAACCTACCTTATTCCAGAAATTAAATTGTGAATAAGACCCAAAAGGCTGTAGTGTGGGTGGGAACATGGATGCTTCAGCATTCACTTACAATACAGAGTGCCAAGCAAGAAAAACTGGAAAAATACAGGCTGCCCTTGAGGTCAGAGCTAGAGAGAGTGGTGGGGAACAGTCAGACAGTCCGCAAGTGCCCCAGGCCTCCTCCCAGACCTCGTTCCTCACCACTGACCCCTCTCTCTCTGCTCCAGCCCCTCGGGATGACTTGCTGTTTCCTCCACACTCCGGCTTTATTCCCACAGAGGTTTCACATGTATTTCCCCCAGCCTTGAACATCTGTGTCCCTCCTGTTCTTCTTTTCGTGACCAGCTTCCTCACTTCTGTGTTCCCTGCGTACCATACCCAAATTAACAGACACTAGATACGTCACGTGTTAACAAGTGCACTTGTTTCTTGGCTGTCTCCCTGCTAGAATATAGCAGGTCTTTCAGAATATAGTGGGCACTCAGTCAATCCCGAGTGAATAAATGAATGAAACGGATGAAGTGACCACCAAGCTGAGTTACATGAAGAAAGTTCCTGGCTTAGGGAGGAGCACTGGAAATGGAAAAAGTGGCACATTCAGGAGAGAAGTTCAATATGGAAGAGGAACTGGAAAGTGGGAATGGAATGGACCCAGGAGAGAGAAGCAAGGGTCTTCTGAGCCATGCTAAGCTTTTTCCCAGGTTCCTGGGAGGCCACTGAAAGTTTAGGCAGAGAAACTGAGCCGTGTACACGGCCTACAGTGTAGGGAAAGGGTTGGAAGATAAGACTGCAGTCAGCCAGTTAAGACGCAGACATCCGGACCAGAGAGAAAGAGGGCCCAGGCTAGTCATGGCCAAGGGGTCACGGTGAAGTAGTTTGGTCCTAACAGTATTAAGTAGCGGCTGGGCACGGTGGCTCATGCCTATAATCCTAGTACTTTAAGAGGCTGAGGTGGGCAGATTGTCTGAGCTGAGGAGTTCGAGACCAGCCTGGGCAACATGGAGAAACCCCGTCTCTACTAAAAATACAAAAAATATGAGGCCAACAAACATGACAAAATGCTCATCATCACTGGTCATTAGAGAAATGCAAATCAAAACTACATTGACATACCACCTCACGCCAGTTAGAATGGCGATCATTAAAAAATCTGAAGACAACAGATGCTGGAGAGGATGTGGAGAAATAGGAACACTTTTACACTGTTGGTGGGAGTGTAAATTAGTTCAACCATTGTGGAAGAAAGTGTGGTGATTTCTCAAGGGCCTAGAAATAGAAATTCCATTTGACCCAGCAATCCCATTACTGGGTATATACCCAAAGGATTATAAATCATTCTATTATAAAGACACGTGCACACGTATGTTCATGGCGGCACTGTTTACAATAGCAAAGACCTGGAACCAACCCAAATGCCCATTCACGATAGACTGGACAAAGAAAATGTGGCACATATACACCATGGAATACTATGCAGCCATCAAAAATGATGAGTTTGTGTCCTTTGTAGGCACGTGGATAAATCTGGAAACCATAATTCTCAGCAATCTCACACAAGAACAGAAAATCAGACACTGCATGTTCTCACTCATGGGCAGGTGTTGAACAATGAGAACACATGGACACAGGGAGGGGAACATCACACAATGGGGTCTGTTGGGGGTGGTTAGGGGAGGGACAGCGGGGGCGTAGCTTTGGGAGGAATAACCGGGGGAGAAATTTCAAATATAGTATGGGTAATGGGGGGATGGAGGCAGAAAACCACATTGGCATGTATGTACCTATGAAACAATCCTGCATGATCTGCACATGTACCCCAGAACCTAAGTACAATTAAAAAAAAAACAAGAAGAAAAATTCACAACAACAGCACAACAAAATACAAAAAAATAGCTGGATGTGGTAGTGAGTGCCTGTAATCCCAGCCACTCGGGAGGCTGAGGCAGGAGAATCGCTTGAACCCAAGAGGCGGAGGGTGACAGAGCGAGACTCCATCTCAAAAAAAAAAAAAAAAAGAAAAAGAAAGAAAAAGAAAGAACTTAAAGGATTGAAAGCCTGCATGGAATGGCTCACAGACTGGGTGCCATCTTTGATCGTGAGTTCTGTGAAGGCGGGCATTGGTCCCTTCTTAGTCTCCCAGGCCTGATACGCCACCTGCTAAATGCGTGTCTCACACTTCCTTTACTTCCCACTCCTTCGATGTGACATAACCACCTGCATTAAGTGTTTGAGGGCAGGAATTACAGGGGAGAGAGATCTTTCTCTTTTGGTCTTGTCGTTAAATCAGCTGCCTCAAATTATTTTTAGACTAAGGACAGGTACAAATAAATGAATAGGAAGTTGCTCTCAGAGACAGCGTGCGAGTGTGCTTTTTGTGAAATTCCACCATGGCGTACCGTGGCCAGGGTCAGAAAGTGCAGGTTATGGTGTAGCCCATCAACCTCATCTTCTGATATTTACAAAATAGATCGCGGATTCAGGTGTGGCTCTATGAGCAAGTGAATATGCGGATAGAAGGCTGTATCGTTGGTTTTGATGAGTATATGAAAAGAAGAGATGATGATGCAGAAGAGATTCATTCTAAAACAAAGTCAAGAAAACAACTGGGTCGGATCATGCTAAAAGAAGATAATAGTACTCTGCTACAAAATGCCTCCAACTAGAAATGACCACTGAAGTGAGAAATCGTTGAGAAGGACACATTTTGTTTTTAGATGTCTTTTGTCCAGTGTGAACATTTATTCATATTGTTTTGATTACCCTTATGTTATTACAAGATGTCAATAAATGCTATGGGATTTTTTTGTATTAAAAAATTTACATTGAAAAAAATAAGTAAATAAATGAATAGGAATAGTCACACATCTGTGCAGGAATAATCACACATCTTTGAGAAGGGGAAAACAGATGTAAGATAGATTTATTTATTTATTTTGAGATGGAGTCTCGCTCTGTTGCCCAGGGTGGAGGGCAGCAGTGTGATCTTGGCTCTCTGCAACCTCAGCTGATTCTCCTGCCTCAGCCTCCCGAGTAGCTGGGACTATAGGCACATGCCACCACACTGGGCTAATTTTTGTATTTTTAATAGAGACAGGGTTTCATCAATTGGCCAGGCTGGAAATTTATTTTCAAATAGTAAGGGCCAGCATCTTTACAGCTGCAATATAGTTTATTTCTCAGGACAATCTCTCTGGTGTTCTGATTACTAGCTCCATTGTACAGATGAGAAAACGAAGGCTAGGAGAAGCTAAGAACCTTACCCAAGGTCGTCCAGCTAGAGACCCAGCATTCCCGCTCAGCCCTTCTGACTTCAAAGCTTGGCTTCCCTCCACTAGAGTACACCGCTCCTCCCTGATTTCTGGCGTAGACACAGTGGGAAGTAGGAGGCAAGACGAACAGTGGATTTAGAGAAGGCCTGACCCTGGAAGTCTCTGCCTGGGTTCTGACGTCTAGCTCTTTGAGATTCTGTGATGCAGGTGAGCTCTAGGGTGCTCTCTCCCGCCAGTTCTAGCCCATCCTCGGCCGATCCCAGCCCTGAAGGAACGCTCCCATAGAAGGCACTGCTAAGCCCTCCTGTTTCTGTGCAAATGGGAAGCACACTGCCTCCCACAGCTTCCCTGGGGCAAAGGACTGAAAGCTCTGGACCAAGAGGCAGACCCTTTTCTGGGCATGAACTGCCTGTCCTGCCAGCAGAAATTCCAAACTTGGACTGACGGTGACTCTCCCAAGGTCACTGACAGTGCCGGGCCTTTCTGAGAAGCGGGTCATGGTGTCCGATGGTATACCCCGTGGCTGTGGGCCGCTGCCCCCACGCCCACCCTGCTGTTTAGCCTAAACGGCTCAATCAGACTTCAAAATGCATTCGAATGCATTTATTGGATTCTTTCTATTTACTAGACTCTATGATAGATGGGAAGCCCTTGAGCTTTTTAAAACGGAACTCTTTTATCGTGGGTTGGTTTCATCACTGACTTGATCAGATTCGTTAAGCTAGTTGAGTCCCCATTTTCCCTCTGAGACAAATGGAATAATCTTAACATTCATCTAATCTTTATCATCCTTATAAGTATGTAAAGTAATATCTGCACAGCACTTGGCCCATAATAGGCAGTGAATGGTGGTGGCTATTGTTATTAATAACTACCAACGCATTGGCCACATAGTAGGTGCTCAATAAAATGTAAGGATTGGAAATCAGGCTCCAAGTGCTCCCTTTAATTCCCCATTTGATTTCCACTCAGAGCGGGGAAGGTATAGGAGAAGAAAGGGGAAATCCAATGTATTTGGTGTTTGGAAACATGACATCAAAAAATGTCTCTCTCTCTTTCTCTCTCTCTCTCTCTGGGTCTCTCTCTCTTGATAGGGTCTCGCTCTGTGGCCCAGGCTGGAGTGCATGGTGGGATTTTGACTCACTCCAACCCTCCACTGTCCTACAAGTATGCTTGACTAATTTTTGTATTTTTAGTAGGGATGAGGTTTTGACCTCAAGTGATCCTTCCTCTTCAGCCTCCCAAAGTGTTGGGATTACAGGCATGAGCCACTGTGACCGGCCCCAAAAATGTCTGTTTTCAAGTCATAATTCTTTTCTTTCCTGCAGCTGTCAGGGGCTAGAATTACTTAGGAACTGTGGCCAGGTTTTTGGGAGATGGGTCGGTGGAGGAAAGACCCACTCAGATGAAAAAGATAACACACCAGACAAATGGTCCCTCCAGTGCTTATGTCATCTGGCAGAGCCCCCCAAGTAAGGAGGAATTTCCCTTGTACCTGACAATAACATTTTTTCAAAATAAAATATGTTGAGGCTGAGAAGTTTATCTTGGCTGAGCATTGTACCATTAACTCAAGATTAAATGCATCCTGTCCAAATTCTTTTGCTACTTGTAATGGGTCTCAGGCTCGTGGTCTCCAGATGTTGATTCTATGAGTGTCCCAAGAAAAGACGCTAATTGCTGTTTGCGGTGGAAGCGTGGAAGTGGGGCTGTGGTCGCTGTCCCGGCACACTCCCCACGTGCCCCTGCAGAGCCAAGGCAAGACTTCCCCGGCCACTGCAGCCTCGCCTGCTGAAGTGCACAAGGTTGGCGGAGGTTCAGCTGGGTCCCTCCCTGCACACTGTCTTTAGCTAAAAGCAGCTGCCATGCAGTCCCTCTAGTGGGGCAACCGGACCTCACAATTGACTGATGTTGGGGAACAAAAGCCGAGCCCTTTGGTGCTTCAGTTTGGGACAAGTTCAAAGTGCCACCCCAGCTCCAGAGCTCTGACCCTTATGAGGTTGGCTGAGGCTGTTGTGAGGGCTTCCGAATTAAACTTCTTCTGGCCACACTTTCTTTCTTTTTTGAGATGGAGTCTTGCTCTGTCACCCAGGCGAGAGTGCAGTAGTACCATCTCGGCAACCTCCGCCTCCTGGGTTTAAGCGATTCTCCTACCTAAGCCTCCCAAGTAGCTGGGATTACAGGTGCGCACCACCATGCCTGGCTAATTTTTGTGTTTTTAGTAGAGATGAGGTTTCTCCATGTTGACCAGGCTGGTCTCGAACTCCTGACCTTAAGTGATCCACCCGACTGGGCCTCCCAAAGTGCTGGGATAACAGGCATGAGCCACCATGCCCGACACAAAATTCTTCACTCCTCTGAAGGGGGTAATTCAGAGGATGTTCCCTATAAACTTACTGCACCTCCATTTCCAGCTCAGAGATGTAGCTACCAGGAAGGGTTGGAGGAAGCAGACTGTGTATGGGATTTTGAAGTTCGATCACTCACCAGCCAGTTGACCGTAAGGACCCCATCTCTTGTGGCAGCGGAGGACTGATTGTCCCACGCATGCTGTGCAATTGGTAAAGCTTCCGTGACACACTTGGGTGGAACAGCTATCGAAAGGAATGCACAGGAGGTGCAAGACCTCAGGAGTTGGAAAGGCTGGTAAGAGGGGGAGAACAATGGCGGGAGGTGGCTGTTGCTGAGAACCGTCGATACATTTGAGAAAGCCAGTGGAAGGTTGAGAGTGATTAATCATGAAGGTCAAGTGTGGCAGCCAGAGGACCTCCTTGGTAGCATACGAAGAGACCATCATCTCTCACAACTTGAGGGCAGAAAAGGCTGGGTATCAGGCCCAAGATTGAATTTTTTTTTTTTTTTCAGACACAGTCTTACTCTGTTGTCCAGGCTGGAGTGTAGTGGCGTGATCTCGGCTCACTGCAGCCTCCACCTCCTGGGTTCAAGCCATTTTCCTGCCTCAACCTCCCAAGTAGCTGGGATTACAAGCATGAGCCAACATGGCCGGCTAACTTTTTTTTTGTATTTTTAGTAGAGATGGGGTTTCACCATGCTGGTCAGGCTGGTCTCGAACTCCTGACCTCAAATGATCTGCCTGCCTTGGCCTCCCAAAGTTCTGGGATTACAGATGTGAGCCACCGTGCCCAGCCCAGGATTGAATTTATGACTTGCACCACCCCAGAGATTGTCACATTTTTAACCCTATGGAGTCTGTGATGCCAAGGTCAGGGTCCTTGTGCCAGAGCCGTGAGACTTCAGTGCAGTTCAATGCCTCCCTCCCTCTCCCCAGCCCTGCCCCCTTCACTCCTCACAAGAACACCCCCAAAAGAGTCTTCCTGTACCCTAATCTCAATTTCAGAATCAGCTTCCCACGGAACCCCACATTGGACAGGGCACACGGCCATGCCATACCAATGTGATCAGTTCCCCCCCAGCAGGGCTCCGCGTGGGTTTGGATGACTTTCCCAGTCTCTCCTCAGTCTTTGCAGTTACTATTCTCTGCACCTGAAGCCCTGCTCCTGGGCGACTCAGCCTTCAGCTCAAATCCGGCTTCCTCGAAAGCTGAAGTATCCCCGTCACTTATGCTGAAGTATCCCTGTCACGCCTGCTCAGTTTCTGTATTTCACGTCACCCTGTTTTCTTTGTTTCACAGCCCTGACAAGCATTTGAAACTATTTGCTCATTTATTTGTTTATTTTACTTTCCATCCCTCCCACTAGAGGGAAGTTTCATGAAGCCCCAGGCCAGTGTTTAGTGTTGCGCTGGGGTGCTATATAAATATTTTTGAAGGCAATAATTAAATAAATAAGGAAAAGAAAGAATGGAAAGAAGAAAGGAAAAAGGGAGGAGTATTGGGGTTCAAATTCTGACTTTGGGTCAGCTACTCAGGAGGCTGAACCAGGAGAATCGTTTGAACCCAGGAGGTGGAGGTTGCAGTGAGCCGGGATCGCGCCACTGCCCTCCAGCCTGGAGACAGTCCAGATTCAATCTCAAAAAAAAAAAAAAAATTCTAACTCTGGTGAACCTAGAAAGATTCTTTGACTTCTCTCAGCTTTTGCTGCCTTCTACGTCAACAGGGGATGCAAATTCTTTTTGAAATTCAATTAGATACTTTGGGCAGAGAGCCCACGTTTTGTTTCTTCCCCTGGACACACCTGGAACGTCCTCTTTAGAATAGCACTTAAGTCTTTCTTATTTTTCTTCTTACTCACTTTGTCCTCCTTTCACCTCTCACTTCTCATCTAAAGGGGAGATGTTCAGAGAACTGAAGTTAAGGGAGATGGCTTTTGAGAGGTGATGTCACATGCGCGGAAGGCAGCCTGCGAGCCAGAGCAGGACTTACCCCAGGCTTCCTCGTGTTGTGTGTTTATATTAGTTACTATTGTGGTGTGTGT